AGACCAAAAAGGTTTATTGCATAAAACCAGTGGAAGTCACTGAAGGAGGCTGTAACAATGGTTCTGTCTCCATGGCAACTAGCACAACAGAAAATTCTGATCTGCAACAAGCCTGTCACATTCCCGGGGGTTTCAACAGCAAAGCCCAATAAGCCACTCCAATATCAGAAGTTTAGAATCAATACCAAAATGCCAAAGCCAAATCACAAACCATAATCTGAGGTCAGGGTCCAAAGCCAAATCACACAATGTAGTCCAGGGTCAGAGTCCAAAGCCAAAGGTCTAGGAAAAAGGTTCAAAGTAGTCAGGAGCATGGCTGCAAGCCAGAGATTTGACTTGTTGCTTCCAGGAGCTTCCCAGCAGTCTGGGAGCTGGTTATATAGCAAAATAGTCATTGAACTGCTGGAAGCCTTTCATTCTGTCAAAACTCAGGACTAGCTGACCAGATGTTTCTGCGGGCAGCATTCAGGTGATCCTCTGATCTTTGCATCATAAGTCTTTGCTGAAGTCTAGCCCTTACTCTGGCTACTGGGGGAAGAGAATCTGGTGGTGATTCAGCTGTCTGTGCTTCTAATTGCTCAGCGTTCTCCTCAGCTATAGTTAACCCTTCAGGTTCCGATCTTTGGCTGAACTCATGACAAAGCCAGAGTCATTCAGTGCTTTCTTATAAAGGCAGATAATATTTCACTACAGAACCCTAGTGAGAAAATTCTTATTAATGAGAAGTCTTATGTGGGGGTTGTTGATTCCTGTTCCCACATAACCCTGTCTCATCCTGATGTGGTTCCTAAAGAACAAATACTTTCAAATCAAACTGTTACAATCAAGGGAATAAGTTCTAAATCAAAAATAAGTGACTTTAGAGTCTATAGAAACTGAGTTGGAATTTGGGATGTGGCAATTTCTGATCAAATTCCAGCACCTTGTTTGATTGGATTAGATTTCATTAGGCATATGCAGAGTGCTTTTGTAGTAACGTGTTCCCAGTGAGAGCAGTTAAGAATCTCTGAGGGAAAACTGGAATCCCTAACTTCTGAAAGTAACCTGGAAGGCACCAGTTTAAAGGCAAATTCTGGATGAAATGGCAGAATTTATATTTATGAAAAACCCTAATAATTCATCATTTGATAAACAACAGAAGGAGGATACCACCCTTACACAGTGCTTTGAGAAAGCTAAGGAAACTCCCTCTTCATTAATGCATGAATGCCCAGAGAGATATATAATAGATAAAAATCTGTTATATAGAGGAGTTTTGTTAGCACCTCAGAGGAGATGCAAACCTCAACTTATTGTGCCTGAAAAATATAGAGGCAAGAGCTTAAGCAAGATGCATAGTGATGCTTTTGGAGCTCACATGGGAATATCGCGTACCAAACAAAGGGTTGCAAGGAACTTTTACTGGCCAGGAATGGGCCAGCAAGTTAAGCAGCTTTGTCAAACGTGCTATATGTGCCAAATGAGTGGTACTGTGGAGGACAAGACAAAGGCTAAGCTATGCTCGTTGCTAGGGATCTCGACCCCTTACCAACGCGTAGGTCCGCAAAAATCCTTAGCGATAGAAGGGCAAAGCTGGAGGAGTGCTCATGAAAAGCAGAGGGGCTGGTGTGATGAAAAGGCCTGGGAAAGAGCTTTCTGTCCTGAGGATGAAGTGGGGGTGCTGAGACTCATAGAGGGGAGTGAATTGCAGTTGGCATGGTCACGACCTGTAGATGTGTCACAAAAGAAATTTGCATAGAAATCTTGAGGTGACCCGTGATAGTGGTTCCCCACCTATTGCAGCTAAAGTACTTGTGGGCAAGTTTGTGGGTGAGAATGAAAGCAAGAGCAATAAGATCACAAAGAAGGATACCTCCATTGCAGATTAATAACACTGGCTGTGATGCTTAAGGGAATCCAAAAGTTATATAATTCATCAGACTTCCCCCCAACCTCAGGCATCCTTAGAGGTTTCCTTCATTCCTCTAAGTCATGCTCCTATGACTTCATTTGAACGGCTCACCTCTAACCTCCTGGGCGACATTGGCTGAGCTCATACAGGCAAAATCTCTCCATGTCTTCTGACTGTCATGAAACCCAAAAATGGCTGTCACATTTTCTTGTAAAATCCATAGTGGCTGCTGCTTAGAACTATAAAAGACACAAACTACTTTCAGAAACATGATGGCAAAATATTTGTTGGGTAGCCAAAGAGCATGGCAATAAATTACTGTAATATTCACTTCGATTAAAGTAAAAGCTAGTTTTGCTTGGTTTTCTGTTTTCCCCTTTCATTAGGTTGCCCCGATTCTAGAGAATACTTGCTGAGAAAACAAGTAAAACAAGTCTGGAAAAGGGAAAGAACATGGGAAAAGGAGAATTCCATGTTCCCAATCATCTCTGCCCATTAACACTGCTGACAGGGGGGTGACGCAGGCCAAGAGCATCTGAAGGGCCAGAAATGTCCCGTTCTTTCTCAAGAAGGAACATTCCCCTTTGGGACTGTAGCCAACATGGAACAGGAAGCTTTTGACCTGATTTTTTGCAGAATGGAGGGGCTGTACCTGGGGAAAGAGAAGAAGGGAAAAATGCCTTTTTCCCCTTCCCTAACCTCTTCCTTGGGCATGTGCTAGACAAACGTATTAGTCTCCAACCAGAACATTTTACAGTTACAATATAGCAGGAGGAAGGGATAAGTGGTAAAGAGAAATAATACCTGTGGCGATCACCCTGCGTTGGCTAAGGTAGAAGATTATTTGCATGTACCAATGACAGCTGTTGGGAGGAGAGCCAGATAAACTAGAAGGGAGGGGTGAGTCAGAGTCTAGGAAGTTCAGTGAGAGATAGGGAAGGGAAAAAAAGTTTATGGGGTTTGAGGCGGAGAGAGTGTTTAAGGAATGATTAGTCAGAGTGTGGCCTGTATTAATTAAGATAGAAGAGGTTAAAGTAAAATACTGAAGCTTTGTGTAACTTTAAGAATGTGCTTAAGAACTAGTCCTAAAACAACTTGTAATCATTAAACCTGTTTCTGTTTAAAAGTTGAGTACTGGACAACTTCAGCCATTCATAAGAATTATAGGTTGATAAAGAAATCAACTGGTGGCAGTGTGTTAAAGGGCATGTTGAGATACTCGGGTGAGCTCTGCTTGTTGATACAAGCAGGGGCTAAGGGGTAAACAGCACAGTATCCTTTAAACAAGGCAGGGAGTTGGGATGGTGATCTAAGGCCATTAAACATGTTTGAAAAGTGGGTAATAAAGTCCCAGCCCAATTATTTTGGAAACAATGTGAAGATAACAGCAGGTCTAGCCTTCAGGGAAGTATTCTGAGTGATTCCCTAAAATATGGGAAGTAGCTTGTTCTCTTTTTGAGTCATGCCAACTTCATATCCTTCATCTGCCTCTAATTCACCCAAATACTTTTGAACTCATAGATTCAACCCAAAGATTTTGAAACTCTCGTTCTGGTTTTCCAGCACACCTATTTGCAACGGAATGATGTTGGCGTTCCAGCAGTGATGGTAAGACACCACAGGGAAGAAAGAATGGAGAGAGGTTTAAAATTCAACCGAGGTAAGAGTTTGCAGGCTATAACGTTCATCTTAAATAAGAGGTGAGCATTATGAATCCCTAGACACCTATTTCTGAGCCAGAAATATGAGTCTCAGATATATCACTGCTTTAGGCTCTGCGATCACCTGAAGTTTGATTTCAGCTGTACAGCTCCAGCAAAACCCTTAATTATTGTTTGTCTTTAAGCACTTTAAGTACCTACTGGACACTGGTGTTTTGCAACACTGAAGAAGAGTTTCCTTTTGTTCTTAACAGAATATGCAGCAGGGAACAAAGCTGAGCAACAAAAACACATACACGGTGTATCCAACTCTAGGGGGTGGTGCTCATCCCCGTTTCCAAGCCACAGAGCCAGTGTTTGTCCATAGACTGTTTTCGTGGTCACGTGGCCAGCATGACTAGACATGGAACACTATGTACAGAAGGCTCCAAAGCCAATCCTTGGCATTTCTGATGGGGGAAAAAATAGCTAAGCTTGCTAATGAAAGGGAAAGCCCACTGTCTCTGCAACTGACTGAATACACAGGGGAGCCACCTGTCAGTGGTTCTGCGGTGTGGGTTATTTCAGTTTCCTAGCCTTCATCAAGTTGAATCTGCAACATTAGGACACCCTACCCAGGTGAGATGAAAAGGAGAATGATGGGGTGACGGAAATGCCTTTTGCTACAGATCATGTACCCCTGAATTACATTGAAAGAAATCCAACCTTATGCTTCCTTTTAATAAAATACCTTTGAAAGAATTGGTAAATTAGCAGGAGAGATGTGCTGGTCTGTTAATTCATGATCCATCACATGATTTGCAAATGGGATGATTCAGTAGATGTGACTGCATGGATTTGAGAAACCATAATATGAAAACCCTAAGAGGGAGAGAATTGCCTGCTTGGTGCATAAGGGGAGGGAGGACAATGAAAAGAGGGAATGGCCGAACAGGTAGAAAGAAAGAAGAGCCAATGAAAAAAGGAGAGGGGAAAGAGGGAAAGTGAAGAGATGAGGAGACAAAGCGTGCGGGTTTCTCATCCATGTAGATCTGATGTTGCTTGATTAGTTCATTGGTGAAGAATGACAAAGACTGTAAAATGGGCATATCTGTGTGTCTGTCTAGAAGAAATACTGTCACAAGGCCTCTAGCTGGCTGACACAAGCTCCTCGGGAATAAGAGGCTCCTCAGAAGTAAGAGAAATCTGTAAGTGTAAAGGTGATGGAATTCTTGAAATTCTAACCAAGTTTATTGATAGTTGAGGGTGGACACTATGGAGAACAAAGTATAAAAGCCTTAATTGTTGAAATTCTAACCAAGTTTATTGATAGTTAAGGGTGGACTATGGAGAACAAAGTATAAAAGCCTTCATCTTTCCACTGGTGGAACAATAGGTGTGGCACAGAGGTGTAACTCAATTGTTTGGTGAATCCTGATTGTTTGTGATTTCGTATGTATGTATGTATGTATGTATGTATGTATGTATGTATCTCTCAATATACTCTATTACACATTCTATTATATAGGTAGGAAAGGAGAAAAATGGAACAAATAAAAATCACAGTGGTGTAGCTAACAGGTTTCTAAGCTGGGTGAAGCTGAGCATGTTCTTCCATTTGGCACACATGATCCTTGTTTTTCTGGAAATACATTCTCAGAAAAGCCAAATGGCTCATATCGGCACTGATAATCTTCCCAACAACAACACAGTGGATTATACAGCAGTTGAATGCTGTGGGCAACCAAGCTTAATCTCCCTTCAGTTCAGTTTCTGTCACAGATCAGTTGATAATGCTAGAAGCACAACAGAAGCATGAAGAATTATAGACACTTCATGTACTTTGCAGATGCCTGATACCGAAATTAATGACAATGCTATCCAAATAATCAGTGGGGAAATGATTTCACACTGCCACCTATCATGAAACTCAGGAGAAGAAGAGAGAAACTGGACAATGAAGTTGGCAGTTTTTATAATCTAGAAATTAAGTCTGTTTTGAGGGTATTTCTAGAATGCTCAATGGTGGGAATTATTTAGAAGGCTGGAGCAGTTTACTTTAAACAGAATGGAGGCTTACTTTGAAAGCTTCCTAAGCTACTCACAAAGACACATTTTTGGCCTACTAAGTGACAAATGCAGTTCTACAACTATAATGAAAAACTGCAACATTAAATTGTGCCTATATTTAGCTTTTTTATATGAAAACAAACAAATTATTTATTCTTTACCAAGGGTCAACAAATCACCTAAAGAGCTGCTGAAGGGACAAATTGAATATGAATTCATTTCATTATAATTATCAGCTATTCTTCTGAACCTTCTTTCAGGCCAATCAACTAGCGCTGATATTAACAGAGCAGAGGAGCATGTGTGAACTTGAAGACAAATGGAAGATGGAGAAGGATGATGAGCATGACCTTCAACCTGCCTGCCCCTGACATTTGCGATGGCCACAGAAAAAAGGAAAGGCCAGGGTGCACTTTTAGTTGTGATATTTCTCATTCTCCCTCTCTCTGTGTGTCTTTCTCTTTCTCTCTCTCTCTCTCTCCCTCCCTCCCTCCCCCCAAACAATTTTTGGACAGTTTTCTGTAAAGCAAAACAATCCAGCCAACCTGCCTTTCATCTTCCTTGCAGCTAACACATGCAGCAATAAACACCCTTTTAGAAAAGATGGCACTATTCTATTAACAAAAATGATTGATGAAAGACTTTCAAAAAGGTCACCTCTTCTTTGTTGTATGCATTAGAATTATCTCTACTTGTTCATCACAACTAGAGTACCCGGGGTGGATAAAAATCAATGGTTTTTAAAAATCAAATTGTCAAAAATCAAAATCACAATTTAAATTGCAAAAAAATCAATTGTTTTGATTTAAATCTTCAAAAATCATTTTTTAAAAAAAAATTAAATTGTCATTTAAATCAAATTGGGCTATTTAAATCAAACTGATTTAAGTCAAATCCATCCTGGAAGACCCACTGAATCACTCACCTTGGAAGAGGATCAACATAATGCTAACTTCAATGCAAAGGATCCAGGATAAGAATAGGAAAATTAGAGCCCAAAAAGCTTAGGTAAAACTGATAAAAGGCAAGATTTAAGATACAATATTCAGTCACATAGGAGCATAAGATCACTGAAGAAAAAATCAACATAGCTTCTGAAAGAATTAATCTTTTGCTCATGCACTGTTTTGTTGTGGGCTTCCCACAAGCATCTGACTGGCCACTGCTGTACCAGAATACAGCATTTGTTCTGTATAAGCATGCCTGGATTAAATTACACCTATCATTACACCAATAACATATTTAGTACTACATACAATATCATCTTTCTATGGACAAAGTTCCTTCTCCTGTCCTCTGAAGATGCCCATGGCCACAGAGACTGGCGAAAGGTCAGGAAGAACAACCTTCAGAACACAGCCAAAGAGCCCGAAAAACCCACAGCAACCATCAGATCCCGGGTCCATTCCTAAGGCCTTCAGATCCTGCTTGCAGATCTCCTTGTATTGCACCTGTGGTTTCCCTCTGGGGTACTTTCCCCACACTAATTCTCTATACAGGAGATCTTTTGGAATCCGGCCGTCAGCCATTCTCACTACTATTCATAGTTTTCAGTATCCATGGGGAGGCTTGGAACCAATGCCCAGCAGATATCCGGATCCTACTGTACTGAGTGTTATTAGCATGCCTGATTTACTGGCTCTTGGGACTCATGTAATGATGGTTTTGTTAATGCTTGATTTTGGTATGTGTCTGTGTTTTGACTCCCTCTTGGAATCTCCCTGCCTGTTACTCATTTACAACTGGACCCAGTTACATCCCACACTGTTATTGAACTGTGATACTGAAGCCTCATACATGGAGAAACAGGACAGTCCTTGCATATGCATCAAGCAATTGAAAAAGTATTTCCCCAATGCTACACAAACACACACATACACAGAGCACGCAGGTATGTTACACCCTCAAGTAGCTTTCCATGCTTGGCACAGCACTTTGTGACCACTTGAGTAACTAGCCTAACGTGATCAATTATGCCAGCCACAGCACAGCATCGAGCAGTTCACTGTTCAGTTTTCCTTCATTCGGTATCGCCTCTTTCCAGGGCTACTTGTGTGGCATAAAAGAAATCCATGATGCTAGGGGCGATTAAATTAACAAAGAGAGAAACATGAGCTGAATTTTCTATGGATGATTATTTAGTAACTCCCGGCCTCACTTGAGGAGTATTGTGTTTTGGTTCTCTTCTGTTTCTGGCGTGTAACTTTCTGAGGGTGAGGTAGAGGTTAGAATGCTGGGCAATTCCCTTTAGATCCCACTCTAATTAAAAAGTCTATCTGGATAAGGATTGGAATATTACAAATGAGCAATAAATTAAAGAGTGCAACTTGTGTTCTCAAGGCTTTGAGCTAAACAGATTGCTGTCTCATGTGAAGTGAGAATATCATTAAATACTTACCTGGTGCCAAAATAAATCAGTTCTTCAGAGAATGTGGGATATTGTGCTTCTTCTGTAGCCATAATTCAAAAAGCCAGGAAATGGCTTGATATTACTGTACAATATTATGTCCATGTCAATAGCAGGTAAAAAGGATGCAAAGCTTTACATAGCAAAGGGCAGCCTGAATGTTGACAACACCAATGGCAGTAGTACAGATGGTCTACAGGATCCCATCTTCTGTTCAATACCTTTCAAAAAGTGGCACCAAGGGAAAACCCCAGAAGCTGATATATATAATATAACATGGAATTTATATATTTGGCAGAATTTGTCTAGCAGCAGATATCAGGAACCCCAGAAGCTGATATATATAATATAACTGATACTTCATGTCTCCTTGAAATTTTTGCAATTTGTTGTTCAAACATTTCTCACCTATGTCTTCTCCTTAATTGGGTGGTCAACAGTAGACTCCAAATACCATGTTGCTTTTGTGGTTTTTTTTTTTTTCGCAGTAGACTCCAAATACCATGTTGCTTTTGTGGTGGCTTTTCCCCCCCCAAACTATATTAATCCAAATGCTCTTGATGGGACAACCAAGCTCTTCCTCCTGTATTTCTAGGCAGGAATATGTTTTTTTTAACATATACTGTGACTTTATATCTTTTTCTATTATTTCTCTTCTTTTTGAACAATTTAGACCCTTTAGCTACTGTATTCTAATCATGGGAGTCATCCCATCAAGTTTCAGTTATCCCTATCAATTCATGTTTACTCTCGTGAATTAAAATTTCCAGTTCTTCTTGTTTGTTTGTTATACTCCTTGGATCTGTATATAGACGCTGGAGATTGTGTGATTATTATTGGACCCCATTAGAGCTACTTGGTTTGTTCCTCTAAGCTTTCATTTATCTTTACCTCTGAGCTTGCCTTTCCCTCTCCCTTCCATTTCAGTTTAAATCCCTGAAGTTATTCATGTTGTGGCCAAGCACAGTCTTCCCAGCTCTTGTGAGGTGCAAACCATCAATTGCCAGCAGCCCATTTTTCAGGAAGCATAGCTTGTGATCACAAAATACAAATCCCTCACATCGACACCATCTTCATAGCCAGTTATTCAGTCAGAGTACTTTGCTTTTCTATTCCTCTTCTGGTAGGACTGATGAGAAGACTATCTGGGCCCCAAAGTCTTTGAGTTTGCTTCTCAGAGGTTTTATTTCTTTGTAGTTCCTCTTGGTTGTGTTTTTCCTTTGGATGAGAAAATGAGGTATGCATTTGTGGGGTTTATGAGTGAAGACAATCCTTTTGTTACATTCCTAAGCCATCTTCCAGGAAGACAGCATACCTGGTAGACCCATAGATCTTCCTGGCATATTTCAGCTTCAATCATACACAGTAGGGAGTCTCCTGCTGCAACTATTATTCTCTTCTTCTTTTGTAAGGTGGATGTTCAACAACTTTGCTTGGCTGAGCTTCTGCCTCTCTCATGTCCTCCGGCGAGGTCTCCTGTATGTCTTCCTCTGCGTGCTGTCTGCCAGACTTCTTCTCAAGAATCTGAAAATGGTTTTGCAGTTCCACTGGTGAAGAGTGTCTTCTTTTTTTGCTCCTGACTGTGACTCTTTTCCATGGTGCTTCCTTCACTATATTTGTTCTCTCCTCATCCTCTTTGTCTTGCTGGAACTTCCAGTACCACCCTTGGCTATTCCGCTTGAGAGTTCAGTCTATGTACTCCATGTACTCTGTCTTTTCTAATATCAGCTCCCAAATCATCAAGTGAACTGAAATGTTCACTGTCTTGGAGTTCCATTTTTCAGTCAAAGTGGACATACAAAAATGAGTACATGTTGGAAAGTCTCAGCCAAAAAAATATGCTTATATTAACAGAAATTACATATAAAAGTGCACTTTATAAAGTGAAATAACAGAAACTCCATGTACTCTGTCTTTTCTAATATCAGCTCCCAAATCATCAAGTGAACTGAAATGTTCACTGTCTTGGAGTTCCATTTTTCAGTCAAAGTGGACATACAAAAATGAGTACATGTTGGAAAGTCTCAGCCAAAAAAATATGCTTATATTAACAGAAATTACATATAAAAGTGCACTTTATAAAGTGAAATAACAGAAATATATATTATTTATTTAAGAAATATATAGAGCACAGAGTGCTGTCCTCTGAAGATGCCGGCCACAGAGACTGGTGAAACGTTAGGATAAACAATCTTCAGAACACGTCCAAAGAGCCTGAAAAACCCACAACAACCAGAAACATATATTATTTATTTATTTATTTATTTAAAATATTTTTATCCTTCCATTCTCCATAAAAGGACCCAAGGCAGTTTACATCATTTAAAAAGATGGCTAAAAACAATAAAGTGTTTGAATATTTAAAAAAGACTTAAATAAACATTTTATTAAAGAATGTTAAATGAAAGCATTATTAAAATTGATGAAAAGCAACAAAATATTAACCATACCAATTTTAAAATCCCTGTTACACAGCCAGTCTCGAAGGGAAAGCCTGCCTAAAGAGAAAGGTCTTCACTTGCTTGCAGAAGGACAGCAAAGATGGGGTCAGCCTTGCCTCCTGTGGGAGGGAGTTCCAGAATCTGGGAACAGTAATGGAGAAGGCTCTCTCCTGTGTCTGTAGCAAGTGGAACTGTGAGGGTGATGGGACCGAGAGAAAGGCCTCTCCTGATGATCTTAACACCTGGGCAGGCTCATCAAGGGAGGGAGACAGGGTCTTTATGACAGCTTGGACCCAAGCCACATAGGGCTTTATAGGTTAAAATAATCATCATGCACAGAAACGGATCAGAATCCAGTGGAGTGGTTGTAACAGGGAGATTATATGAACTCTGTAACCAGCTCCAGTTAACAAATCTAGCACACTAGCTTTCACTAGTGCAAAGGTAAAGGTAAAGGTTCTCCTTGACAATTTTTGTCCAGTCATGTTCGACTCTAGGGGGCGGTGCTCATCCCCGTTTCCAAGCCATAGAGCCAGCGTTTTTGTCCGAAGACAATCTTCCGTGGTCACATGGCCAGTGGGACTTAGACACAGAATGCTGTTACCTTCCCACCAAGGTGGTCCCTATTAATCTACTTGCATTTGCATGCTTTCGAACCGCTAAGTTGGCGGGAGCTGGGACAAGCGACAGGCGCTCACTCTGTCGTGTGGATTCGGTCTTATGACTGCTGGTCTTCTGACCCTGCAGCAC